ATGCCCCCAAAATAAAAAAAAAAAAAACAGAGAGAGAGAGAGATAGTATAAATGGCTGCATATGTTCTTACAATTGGTCAACTCGTCCAATATGTATGTTTATCTAGTTTTTCTATCAGAATTGAGTTATACGAGGACAAGAAGATTGTTTAAAAATAATTTTTTTAAAAAATAAAATTTACTCTTTTAAAAAAAAAAAGTAATAGAAATTAAATAAGGTACCCGATTCACAAATTACTGTGAACAGAGGTACTATTATCCATAAAACAAAATATTAAAATATTTTTAAATAAAAAAAATAAAATCAGTACAAAACACGAATAGAAAAAATCATAAAATACAAGCACAATCATCCTTGAAAAAATGATTAAAATATTTTCAACATCAGTACTTCGATTATAAAATTACGGAAGATATTTGAATAATAAATTTTATGAATAAAAGTAATCAAATAGGGAAAAATCAATATTCCAATTACCCAGATAAAAAATCATAAAATACAGGGATTTCGTCATAATATCATTGTCTCATCTGATAAGTACTATTGTACTTAATTAATGTATAAATAATTGTCTTGAAGATACTATAGCCATGAAAAAATGAAGCTAAGACATGTCTGATATAGAACATTTGTCTACAAACGCTCATGAAACGAGCTTGCTTATTGATTAATTGAAGAAGAATCCATGAGCAAGGGAGCACGTACAGCACTGTTCCTTTCTTTTTGGTGTGTGTTCAGAGCTTGAAACGTAAGCATCCAATATATATTTGGCGCGAGAATGAAACGCCAGGCTTGCAAGAAACGTTTGTCCAAGAATCTGTAAAGCGAAAGTGAAAGATAAACCAATGACAAGGAGGTTTGCATCCTTTTTATATATATATGATGAGGGCAGTAGCGATCATAATAATGCAAAAGGTGTTTGCGAAGAAAGCAGGAGGTCATCGGGAAGGGAAAGAAATGGCACCGGTCGGATTGCCTCCGGGCTTTCGATTCCATCCGACCGACGAAGAGCTTGTCAATTACTATCTTAAGCGTAAAATTAATGGCCAAGAAATCGATTTAGACATCATTCCTGAGATTGATCTCTACAAATGCGAGCCTTGGGATTTAGCAGGTATGTATATATCTAACACTCTACTTTTTCCTATATATGTTCACATTACGTTTCAGCAACATTGCCAGAATAGAGCCATGGGACTACTGCTCCCATTACACAACCTCCTGCTGTTGTCTGTGTCGTAGAAAAATCTTTCCTGCCAAGTAGAGACCCGGAGTGGTATTTCTTCGGGCCCCGGGACAGGAAATATCCCAACGGGTTCAGGACTAACAGAGCAACTAGAGCTGGATACTGGAAGTCTACAGGGAAAGACAGGAGGGTTAACTGCCAGAATAGAGCCATCGGAATGAAGAAGACATTAGTTTACTACCGAGGGCGAGCTCCTCAAGGGATTCGGACCGATTGGGTAATGCATGAGTATCGGCTCGACGACAAGGAGTGTGAAGACACCTCTGGAATCCAGGTAGTTCGTGCATTGTGCAAAATTGTTTCCTTCTTGATCATATATACTGACGACAAACAAATATGCAACATTCCATTTTTAATGGTAAATTTGTTATTAACATTCCATTTTTAATGGTAAATTTGTTACTGCTTGATATATATATATAATATGGAAGGACGCATTAATTATACCCTCTGCTATGTATAAAAATAATTTTTTTATTTTTTAAAATTAGCATATCAAAACAAATAAATAAAAATAATTTTTTTATTTTTTAAAATTCGCATATCATAACAATTTAAAAATTATTTTAAACTAGAAAAAAAAATTCAAAAATTTTAAAAGTTTAGAAGGATGCAGTGGCAAACACTGTATGAATTTATTAGTTGCAATCTAGGACAGAATTGAAAGATCGATTTTCTCTCCTCTTCCTTCCTCTTTTACTGGAGAGAACGCATGCAACTAGACCAAACAGTTCTCTATTTACCCACAATCGCTTTCTGGTCCTCGCTTTCGATTTATCTTTTCTTTTCTCAAGAAAAGGAGAGAAGAGAAAAATGTAGGAGAACTATTGATGCTATCATGACACCATTTTCACCTTCCTCTTTAACAAGAGAGACTGTTAGATACTATACTACACTTTGTTTTAATCAATATGCTACTGTATTTTTGCTCTGGTCCTCAATGTTCTTTTTCTTTTTCTCAAGATGATCAGTAATTCTTATGTCATATTCATTGCATATATATTTACATTTTTTTTTATTCACCAGTTGACTTGGAAAGCTTGCTAAATTTCAATGTCATGGCTAACGGGAAAAGCAACGTTTCCTTTGCTTTCGTTTGGTTTTTTTTACCCACACCTCTTTTACACCAAAGTACAGAAAGCAAATAAAAGCATCGTAATTGCTCTTCTTCTTCTTCTTTCCCTTTGATGATCATAATTGCATGTTCTTGTGCTCAATACTAGTCTTCGAATTACAAAAGAAATTAGTTTCTCTGTGAAAGAACAACAAGACCATGGTATATATGCTAGTGGGAAACTATAGCTAGAGAATATAACAAGATGTAAGAACGTGACACACAAAGTGCATGATTTTGCATGAAAAGTAATGATAATTAGGGTTTATAAGTGCTAATCTCTCACCTGTTGTATTCTAAATATTTTATGGCATACAATCTCTGACATATTCGTTGCTTCAAATGGAGTTAGATCCCCAAGTGCCAAAGCTTGGGTTCCACTTTGTTTTTCTCTAATGAGACAAAAGTTCTATCCTCCATATGACTCAATCCCTTCTTGCATATCCATATGTCGTTGTTCACTTCTTTATCTTTTTTCCTTCCCTGATCTACAAGTCTAGATTCCATGACTAATAAAATGATAAAATAAGACTCTACTAACCCAAAAAAGCAGTCCCACATCACTTTCACCTTGTAAGAATGTGTCGGTCACCTTTTACTTTATTCCAATTACAGAAAAACCAGCCAATTGACATCAAAGTATCCATCTCCTACTTAATTTAGGGTAAGCACTTCTCAATCCGATCCAGCAATATTGTCCTCTTTCCTTTAATTTCCTCTTTGAAAGTTTATATGTGTAGACAATGGATAATTAATTATATGCATCATTATATCATATGTGTCTATACGATTAAATATAACATTGTTGGCTATTATATATACGTATTTGCTCCCCATTTCACCTCATAAATTTTGAATCCTTGAAGAGATCATAAGAGAGAACTTTCACATGAATATATCACTTTTGGTGTAAATGGTTTATTTGAAATGGGACATAGAAGAAACTTAATTTGGTAAGCTTATCATAAAGAAAGAACAAAAAGAATAATAAGAGTATGTGATCAGCTTCCATTATACGGAGTACTTCCCTTAATATGCTATTAATCGAGTTTGCTGCTTCCCTTTGATAAGCCAGCTTTAAAATTTAGTTCCTATCATTTCTTCCCCTGGCTTATCGTCTGTACACAAGGCTACTTTCTTGTTTCATTTCAGGATTCGTACGCATTGTGTCGAGTGTTCAAGAAAAATGGAATATGTTCTGAGATTGAAGAGCAAGGACAATGCACAACAAGCCTATCATTAACGGAGAGCTCATCGCAAGGTGTGCTAAACGAGTATGAAACAATGTCACCAGATGTCCCAATTGCGTCATCATCTTGTACTGAAGAGGAAGACAAAGACGATTCATGGATGCAGTTCATCACAGATGACCCATGGTACTGTTCTTCTAACAACGCTATGGTTGGCGGTGAAGAGATTTCTCAAGTGACTTTCACTGACTAATCAAGGATAATTATCAAGTGATTGGTGGTGATGAATAATATGAACAGAGTTGGATATATTTTTCTTACAATAAGGCATCGAGTACAGAAATGTTGGTAAAAACATTAGAGTGTTATGCCTAATTGGCTTAGTTATTTTGTTTTGGTTTTTGGACATGGTGGCCTCCCTATCTAGCTAGAGCCAATTTATCAAATGGCTTCAGATTTTATTTTATTTTTATTTTTATTTTTTTGTTGTTGTTGACCTCTATGTGAAGGTGATTTGCTGTTTCTTGTGGCATTAAAGGGCATTAATATTAATCTTATTATTATTATTTGAGGAGGCATATTGGTAAAAAAATCATTAAGGGGATATTTTCTTCTCTCCACCAATTTAAGTTTACCTTCCAAATACTTTTTTTTTTTGGTTTACGAGGGCATAGGACAGAGTACCATGGGAATTGCTCTGTGGATAATCATCGATCTGTCATCTCTTAATAATCCTACGTACGTCCATTTTATGTGATTTTTTTATTACAATAATTAATTTCAATTAATTATAAATTGATTGATGGTCTCAGGAATCCTTATGCTATCGTTTTTGTCTTCAATGGGCTCTTTTATCTTTGAGATTTCTTATTCTAGCCTCCCATTGACCACTGCTCAATCGATGCCATCAACATCCTCGTCACCGATGGATTTATTTGACGATTAATTTTGGAATATTTTTGAGGATATTGGATTTTATGTTTGAAAAGTCATAATAAATTCACTACTACGGAATTAGGGAATTAATTTCTTAAAAATAAATTAATAGGACTCATATGGACAAATTCCATTAAAGGGGAGGTTGAAATGTGATCGTATCATTGCTCTAAATAAAGCTTTGCGTTTTACAGTTCGATCCAACCACTGCAAATCTTGGATGAATTGGAAATTTAAAACTGGGACGTGACAAAAGAAGCTAAAACAAGAAGGGAAGTGGAGTGGTCGAGCTGCTCAAGCATTGAGATGGCCTCTTACGACTCATCATCTTCAAATCATTGGAGAGAAGAGATAAAGGTAAATAAAAATAATAATAACAATAATAATATCTACTTTTTGAAAAATATATATAAGTTTGAAAATAATATAATAAAATAGATTTTTTTATATTTTATTTTGTTTTATCTACTATCAAATAGAATATAAACACAATCCTTTTATTTTATACATTATTAGCAAACATAATTATTTTTCTTTTTTTTTTCTATCTTATCTTCTTTATCTCCATTGTTTCTTCTTTTCTTTTTTTCAAATATAGAATCAAATGTGAACTAAAAAAGCTTTTATTTCAAAAAATAAAAAGCAATAATAACCCCGCTCCTTTCCATATTTATAACTTTACTCACATTCTCTCCCTTGAAACTTTCACTATCAAACATCTTTATTGATGTTTTGTGATGATCCAGTAGAAAAATCTAGATGCACACAAATCCAAAAACATGATGATCTTGAACATATAGTGACAATTATAAAATAAAATTATTTAAGAATTTTTAGGATTTTATTACACAAATCTAGAGTTGTTTAAAGATTTATTATCTGAAAATCTAAATTTTTTTTTAATAATTCTTTAAAAGCTTTTTTTATATTTTATTTTGTTTTATCTACTATCAAATAGAATATAAACACAATCCTTTTATTTTATACATTATTAGCAAACATAATTATTTTTCTTTTTTTTTTCTATCTTATCTTCTTTATCTCCATTGTTTCTTCTTTTCTTTTTTTCAAATATAGAATCAAATGTGAACTAAAAAAGCTTTTATTTCAAAAAATAAAAAGCAATAACAACCCCACTCCTTTCCATATTTATAACTTTACTCACATTCTCTCCCTTGAAACTTTCACTATCAAACATCTTTATTGATGTTTTGTGATGATCCAGTAGAAAAATCTAGATGCACACAAATCCAAAAACATGATGATCTTGAACATATAGTGACAATTATAAAATAAAATTATTTAAGAATTTTTAGGATTTTATTACACAAATCTAGAGTTGTTTAAAGATTTATTATCTGAAAATCTAAATTTTTTTTTAATAATTCTTTAAAAGCTAGGTTATCGCAAAACACAAGCCGTCTAATTGTTCGATCTCCAACAATAATCTATATAAATCACCCTTGAAAAATGTCTTAATTTTCTATTTAGAAGAGAGAGATTTGTATGCCTAGAGTACTAGCTTTAATTTTGTGTTTTTATAGTTTTTATGTCTAAGAGACAATAACATAAAAGAATTAGAGACATGACTTTTTATTTATAAGAAAATCTAAAAAACCTTATAAATATCAATTTGTCCCATTAATAATATCCATATTTTCATGCAAGATAATTTTATAAGTTAACTCAATTAGGTTCTTATTTGATTTTTATAACTCTAAAAATATAATTCATGTATTAATTATATTCTAATTTTTAATTTTTAAAATATATTTTAATCAAGATATACTTAATTAAATCATCTCAGTTTAATTTCTGACTAATGATTATTAATGTATAATTCATTAGATTTCTAATATGTTGATCCATATATAAATTATAATTATAACTAAATAAAATTAAATAAATTAAATAGATTAATTTATTATTAATTAAACAATTAATTAATTTATTTTTGAAGATCAAGTGCATCGTCTAGTAATATATCATGATCTCTCAAATAATTAAAAAATCATTAATAATTTGATCAACTTTTATGTGATCGATTCTCAATTTAATTATTATTCTTTCATTAATAATGTTTTGATTTAACATTAGAGCATATATAATGTTTATCATATTAAATCATATTTGTTCTATACATAATAGTTATTGATCATTTGAATAAAATTTAAAATCCTTTTCGAATCTCATTCTATTTTGGCCAATGATTTTTCACTCAATACTATTTGAAAACAAACTAAAACTTTTCTTAAAATTTTTTGTTTTTTGATTTGCTAGGGTATTCGAATTAGCTTACGCACACCTTAACTAATTCACACGAGTCATGAAATTAACGAGTAGGTAAGCCTCCAATGACCATCAATATTACTCGAACTTGAGATCATAGGGGGAGTAAATCCTTTGGTCTTGAATATTTTCTTTAATTCATTTAGGGTGATGAATCCTTTTTTTATCTATTAAATACCCTCATATAGTTCATATTATACTAAATGTCTATCTTTTCATTATCGCAATTAAAATAACATGTAACATAATTAAAACATAATATTTTTTATATAATATATGAATATTAAAGATATATTAAGTTTTTATTAATAATAAATATATATGTTTTTATATTAATATAATGTGAAACTACAAAACATATTAAATAAACAACCAATCAATATCCAAACTTGTCCCACCAAGCAAAAATTGCTACATAAACTTAATTTGCATAGACCAAATCAATAAATTGATCAACACAAAGGGTCATGACATTACATTTGATTAGTAGACTCTGTACATAAAAATTAATTCATGAAGCACATACCAAAAAAAAAAGAGAGAGAGAAACACTAAAATTATCAAAAAATAGTGGTTTTTAAGATCTGGAAACCTTGGAGGATTTCAAAGAAAATTCTAAAAAAAAATTGCCAGGTTTATTTAAATTAACATTAAATATTTTCAATCCTAATGCATATAAATATTTAATTCCAAGCAAATTCTTAAAAACAATCTCCAATTTATTTTATTTTAAAGCTAATTGTTTTTTGGAATTGAATTAAATTCAATATTTTAATTGAATTCACTCAAATCCAAATAAAACGAGATAATTTTTTATATATTGTTTTTATAATGTATAAGATTGTGTTAGTTGTTATTTTTTTAAAATGTTTTTTTAATATATTAAAAAATTTTTAATTTTTTATATCAATATATCAAAACAATGTATAAATATAAAAAAATAAAATAAAATTTAAATTTTAAATTTTAAAAAATACCTTTTGACGAATAAAAACAAACACGCTTTATATACCAAACCGAAAACCCATTTATCTTTGACATTTAATTGCAGCAATATACAATATAGGGACTCGATTGAACAATTAACAAAACATGTTTTACTTTATTGAGAAAAACCAAAATATAAGGTCTCGATTAGAAAATTCCCATCCAGCAAAATCCAAGTATCTAACAAGATTGGACTTGAAAGAAAGAACTCTCGCTTTATTGCTGGGAGAAGAAAATGGCAGCAGCAAGCACAATCTTCAGCTTCAAAATCGCACCAAATCCAAGTCCAGTTTCATCCTTTAAAGAGAAAACCATGACAATGAATCCATCTCTTTCATGGGATAGTGCTAAAACTAAGGTTAGAAGAAGCCGTCTCCCTTACTTCACCTTAAACTATATTGAAAGACAAAGACTTGAGAACAGTTGCAGCTGTTGCTCAGTCTTGGCTTGTCTCCCTTCTTCAGCTTCTTCTCCTTCCTCTTTTGGTGTCAACTTCAGAAAAACCAAGCTTTATGTTAGTGGTTAGTTTTCTTTCTCATGTTTTATTTCCCTTTTAATGCTAATTAGTAGATTCTTTCTTGTTTGTTCCTTTCACATGTAATGATTACAAATACTCTCCTTGCTGAGATTGCATATATGGGCTGCTCTTATTTTGGTGAATTGGAGTTCTATTTTCTTAATGCTTACCACGTGAATTGTACTATGTAGAATGTTTGATTGCCATTCACATTTTTCTTAAAATCTTTATTTCATAATTATTATTTTTTCAAACTTCACATTTTTCTTAAAATCTTTATTTCATTTTTTTTTTTCAAATTTATTTCACTTTGGTTTGGTTCTGTTGAGGAACCTGATATCATGCATCCATGACGAACCTTGTCTTGTATGTGCTTGAACGCTTGATGAATAACCTATGAAAATTGACTAGGCCCCAAGTTTTTTTTTGGTACTCAATGATCACATGTATCCCTATTCAAAATGATCAAAAGTATTGGAAATGAAAACCAAGATTGAAGACAGTTTCAAAAGTCCTCATATAGTTATATTCTTGTTTTGTTCATTATCTGCATTTTTGAGAGATCATTTTGGGATCGTCAATGGGTCTGAACCGGCTTCATTTTGATGAGAAAGGAGGATATACCCTTTGGGGTTTTGCTTGGGATTTATAACTTGTTAGAAATATTTGAAGGAGAAAAGAAAAAATGGGAACATGGGAAACATGGTGAAATACAAATCTCATTCATATTACTTTACTCTCCTAAAAGAGGAAGTCCTATAGACTCGGACCTGGACATACAATACTTTGAACACTTATTTATACTGGTCTAGGATAATTCAAGAGACTTAAAAGATAAACTTTAATAGTTACATGCATATACGTAAGAGATACCTAGAAGAATTAAACGACACTTTGAATGAAAACTATCTTGTGAATATTTATTGGTTGTAGTGTTTAAAAAGAAATTGTTAATCTTTCAGCAACATCACAAGGAAATCATAAAAAGAAATTCTTTCACTTTTACCATCGTTATAAGAAACATGTCTTACTGAATAGTATTGCATGCAGCTCACCTAAGAATCCAGACCTTTTGTTTTCAACTCCATTGCCTACCTCAATGTTGTAATTTTGTGCGTTTAATACAGGGTTATCCTTTCGTACTACTGAAGAGAGTTTGCGAAATGCTTTCCAGAATTTTGGCCAACTTGTAGATGGTGAGACCAGTGAACATCATGTTGCTTTTCGTTCGTAGAGCTGGTTGGGTATTTTTAGTGTTTCCAGTATGTTCATCATATATTATAGGCTTCTGAAAGTATTCTTGTTCTCTCTATCTTAACAGTCAATTTGGTAATGGATAAAGTAGCTAAAAGACCGAGAGGCTTTGCCTTCCTTCGTTACGAGACTGAGGAGGAAGCTCAAAAGGCTATTGAGGGAATGCATGGCAAGGTATGTTCTAGGTGTCATTTTCTTAGGAAATTGTATCATCCAATCTGAATCGTTATTTTATTCTTTCTGCATAGCAGATAATCATTTGTGTCAAATACTAAGTGACATTACTTCCTTGAGTATAATGGTTTCAAAATGAGATTTATTGTGTCCTGATCCACAAAGAAGTTGTGGAAATAGTTTACTATGATGACTGTAACTAGAACACGTACAGAAAGAATTGAATAAGCTAGAGAAGAGTTGGTGATTGTTGATAGAGACAACACATACGCATGCACACGAGTGTAACCAGGACATTCGTTGTTGATACATCGCCAAAAGTGATTGGAGTAGACAGAGATTCCAATTAGCTACCATTTTCCCAGACTACTTGTAACTTGATGAATGCTTTGTTCTAGACATGCATATTTTCACATGCAACTCTCCTATTTGTGAAATGCCTTTCCTTGATAAATTTCATGATCTTGATACTGCTTTTGTTTGCTAAGACTGCTGTCTTTGTGCAAGTTATTCTTATGCCATCCTTCACTAGTTAGCGAGTGCTTGTTATTATTAGTTTAGAAATATTTATGGTAAATTCACATTTAACAGGCAAAGTGTTTTGCCATTTGGTTTTTCAACACGGTGTTGCCAGTTAAACTAGTGGTGCTTGCAGAATATTAACATAAAAGTATCCATGCTTTTTCACAATGATTTGAAAATGAACGACCTGATCTCTAATATCTTGGCTGAGTTAATTATGTGAGTTTACGTAAAGATTTCAAGCTTTGTTGAAACCTCAATGATGCGGTTGGTCTAAATGATTCCCTTCACAATCATGACATAAGAACAAGAAAAAAAACACTGATGAAGTGGGTGAATTTTGGGATTTTGTTAGATTTTTTTTCCCTACCACCTCATGAATTAATGAAGTGAATGCAAGGCATGTGAAAATTTGATGATTTTGTTAATTCTTTTCAACAGAGACTAGATGAGAGGGTAACATTGATGATATTTAGTGATATTGATTCCCAGAATTGATAAATGGTAGCATTGTGAGCTAATAGGTGAGCTGTATTTTTGTAGTTAACCCCAGAATCTATATTGATGAGCCAGAAAGTTGTAGGGTCTCAACTTGTTGTCTGGACCTAATTTACCCCTCCATAGGCCTATATTCCAAAATGCTTGGATTTCCTTGTAATTTTTATCATATTTTTCATTTGTTCTTCTTTAACAAATGTGAGATGACTTGAAACACTGCAAGATTTTGAATCACTTCCCTTCAGTTTCTAGATGGCAGAGTAATATTTGTGGAAGTTGCAAAACCCAGATCAGAGCTTCGCCAAAGCCACAACCATGGCCAAAGATAGTTGCGAAGAGCTGGTCACGACACGCTATAATGGGAGTTATCATCAAATACAATTCAGATTGAGCTGTAGCAGCTCATCAAAAAAAGTTATCATCAAATACAATTCAGATTGAGCAGCAGCTCATCAAAAATTTTATGCGTGGATAACACAATTGAGATAGAGCTGTAACTCATCAAAAATTTTATTTGTGGATAACAGGAAGAAAGAAACATCTGTTATCTTGAAATGTTCAATGGATTGTATAAAATCGTGAATCTACCTTTGTTAGGATCTCAAAAAAAATTGGTCGTTCGCGATTGAATTCAACTCTTATTATGATTGTTGTTGTTATTTATCACCCCAAGATTCTGCAGACTATTTATTGAATAGCTCAAACTTGACACTTCAGAAGCAAGAAGAGAAATTATAGAACTTGAGCTCTCTTCAACCCAGATACGGTCAAACCAAGGTTGCCAGCCAGCCATTTTTCTTGATGCGTGGACTACTTGGTTAGTAAATCTAGAAGAACATTGAAATTTGACAGCGTTAAAGGTCCCACTGGTGTTCAGGATATCTTCTGCAACCTACCCGAACTCAATTGGAAAAATACTTGGGTTTCTGATGGCATAAATCAGCATCAAGTAGCCTGTTTCCAACACCACATCCAGAACCCATGTCCATTGACACACCATATAACGCAGCTGAAAGCTCCCCCCAGTTCAACTGGTACCGCCACTTTTTTAGTTTTTGAAGCAGTCAGCGTAAGCCTTTTATCATTTTCAAGGCTGAGTTTTATGTGTAGTCTAGCAGGGGGTGCAACGCCATGTCGTGCTTCGAGATAAAAAAAAAGTAAAGAAGAAAGGCACTGCACCTTGACCCAATCTTTGTGGAATAACAAGTAATATGTACTTTGTTTCACTTAAAGGACTGCTTGAAATGAATATGATTTGATCTCTCTTCCATTAGGATGTATGTTGTGAAAATGAAGTACCATTAATGAAGCAGCTAAAGATGCAATCATAGAAGCAGAAGTACCCGCACCATTTTTGTAGTTTTTGAAGCAGTCAGCGTAAGCCTTTTATCATTTTCAAGGCTAGTTTTATGTGTGTCTAGCAGGGGGAGCAACGCAATGTGGTGCTTCGAGATTAAAAAATAAAGAATAAAGGCAATGCACCCTGGCCCCGTCATTGTGGAATAACAAGTACTATGAACTTTGTTTCACTTGGACTGCTTGAAATGAATATGATTTGATCTCTCTTCCATTAGGATGCATGCTGTGAAAATGAAGTACTATTAATGAAGCAGCTAAAGATGCAATCATAGGAGCAGAAGTAGCCGCATGAGTTTAAAAAAAAAAAAACTAGACTTTCACAAAGTCCAGAGATTGGAACTTCTCAACTTCAATATGGCAGCATCTTCCTCTTGGCAGTACTGGAAAATGGTAGCACCTTCCTCTTGGCAGTACCTTTCTCTCCACTGATGAATGTACGAGGCACCGAACCATGCTCGTCTTGCAAGTCACATTCACTTCAATCAGCCATCCAATTAATTTGTCAATGGAAACAGGCAGTTGCATAAAATCTCAAACAATGTTTCCTCTCAATTATTCGAGTAAGGTTACGAGTTACAAACTTGCTTTATCAATAGATTTGGACAGATGAATCGACTTTGGATTACATAGATTGCAAGCAAGGGCAGTTACACCGGCACATACAAGATTACAATGAAGTGCAGAAATAAATTGAAGTCTGAAACAACTGCAACAGTGAATGACGAGCAACTAGCACTATCAATAGCAATGGACATCAATGCACCTCTTCTTTTATCATCTGATGTGACAATTCAAGTTCTGAAATATGGATAAGAATGATGAAACCTGAGTGATTTATTAGCTCCTCGAAGAGCTTCCAGAAGCACCCCCGATAGCTCCACTTCTGAAACAATTGCGACATGAAACTGTAGAAATGTGCTGCAATCAATAAGAGCATCATTTGCATCCAGAAGCATCTCTTATATGCCAGCACATATGGTGACTTGAAGGGAGCTCTATGGATAAACTGAAAGAGAAGCAAATGGTATCCCAGGTGTGTTTACTAAAATCTGTCAGTGATCATCTTAATTACGCTATAGCACCCTCATCCAATCTAAGTCAGCTCTTTAACCGGTTATTGAAGGGAATGCTATGAGCATACTCGCGCTCTTTGTCGCTCTCGCTCCTCTGATACAATCACTGTTGATTTCACATCTCTCTCACCTAAACATCTTTTATATGGCACGAACCCCCTTGTGCTCTTCTGGAAGCTGGATCTTCCCTCAACAGAAGGTTGTCCATATTGAGAATCAACAACACCCAAATTCCTCTCCCCATTCTCCAAATCAACTACTGAAAACACGTTTGAACTGGTACAAGATCTTTCATTAAGATTTTCTTTTTCCTCAAATCTTTCTTCCACACAAGGTATAGGTTTCTGTGCTGAGGTATGCTCATATGATGTGAGGTACATGAGTGGCACAACTTGGCTATAGGCCCACCAAGGTATGGAAGAGTTGGTTGCAAAATAATTTGCATTATCTCCCTGCAGTTCTGTGCATTGAAAAACTGAAGCTGGAGATGGCCACAGATTCTGGTTACTATTTGCCATCCCAAGCGATAACTCTGTGTCTGATTGTTTCCGCTGCAGTGTGTGAGCAGGCTTCTCTTTGTCAGCATTAACATTGTCATGATTCTCATTGGATATCACTGGCAAAACAATTTCCGCACCTGGAGGAGATTCTTTCTGTGAATCTACTATCTTCACTGTCATTCCAAAAAGCTTTATACTCGCGGAAGATGCTTTTTCAGCAGCAACATGTTCAGCACATACAGTGTTCTTGGAACCCAGCTCAAATTTCTTAACCTTAAAGTAAGATAATAAAGGAAATAAACTCAGACCTAGCAAGGATAAGAGTTTAATTATAATAATAATAAAAAAAAGAGAAATAAATTGAATCTGACAGGATAATTCATGTTACCTCGGACAAAAAGTTCTCCAGGAGTGACAAAGACATTTGGACCAATGACAAATTTCCTTTTTCCTCTCCAGATGAATTTGATGTTCCATGTTCAGTTTCTTTTGCACTAGGTGATAAACTAATAGAGTGCATGTCAGTGGTACATGAGGTAGGTGAAGAGCATGCATTACACGGCTCTGCAAGTGCAGATCCAAATGTATCTGAAGCCATAGCAGATAAAACGGAGGTGGGAGATTGGTTTTCTTTCTCTGACACTGATGAATTAGGGGATGGAGATCTTTCCAGTTGACTGGAGGCTCCTGTACCTTCAAGGACATTGACTGGTTTACGAGGATAAGGATGTGCAGGTTTCCTCTTTGGACGAGGAGGAGGTATCTCAATTGGTTTAAGGGAGCTCTCGTTGCTACCACCAGAGTACCGGACCACCTGAAATCAAGAGGAGAGAAACATTAATGTGAAAGCCAATTCAATCAAATAAACCCACTGGAGATTGCTTGCACTCCATGGATTCACAAACGTTCCACCACACTTTAACAATCACAGAAAATCTCAAAATCCGGTTACTGGATCACAAGAACCAGACCTTAGAGAAATATTTTTGAGCGTGGCTTCGGATTTGAACAGCAGTTTTGGTGCCTACATGCTCTGCATGAACATAAGAGCAATTTCATCGTACCACAACATATCAGAAAAGCTTTGAAGCACAATAACATGACCTTATCTTACACTTACCTTGTATTCTACGCCAGCCACGACCATACAGCTTTAGAGCTTCCAGGAATCGCTGGTGCTCTTCATCTGTCCATTTTTCCCTTTGTTTTGTAATAGTGTAAGGCTTCCTCACCTATTAAAACGGAGAGGAAAATTCCGAGACTGTGAACATAGGAAAACGCAAAAGGCATTCGTCGCATAATCACATAGGAAGATGAAGCATAATTGCTCCGCAATAGGAAAGAACGGAACCTTGGGCACATTATCACTCCCAAATGAATACAGCTCCTGCAGCCGGATATCCGTTTCAGATTGTTCGCAGCCATTGGTACTGAAATCACAAGCTTTACCAAAGGAATTCAGATTCGTGCCTTCAATTTGCTCCTGTATCCATACCAAAAGAATTAGCCCAATATTTCTCCATACACTAGCAAGAAATTATTCATAAATTCCTATCAGAAAGAAACTGAAACAAGGGAAGAGAACATGCAATGGATGATACCAAATGAAGACATTTCCACAGAAACTCCACTTCAGCTCTACCAAAACTTCGAAACCACATTCCATGTTTTCCCTTTTTTTAATATTCAAAAAAGCTTATATTACCATCTCTTAAATCCAGTTCCAACAAATCTTAACACAAAGCTTCTAATGGAATCATCCACCAATCAACAGTCAAAGAACCAGAAAGAGAGAGAGAGAGAATATCATTAATTATTCATTTGCCATTTACAGCATTATAAAGAAACCCATTTCAAGTTAAATGCAAACATTTCATAAAACTAACCCATCAACAAAAAAAAAAAACCTCCATAATTAAGCATAAAAACCTTACATCTTAAACTCAAGAAAACATGAAAGGGAGAGGGGGAGAGAGAGCAAATACCTTAGAAGCAGCAGCCATTGAAATGGGTTCTCTATTTTTGGGTCAGTGAAAAATCCCCTGGACATAAATGACAGTAATTAACATCATCATCAACAACTTAACCAAAAAACACTGTAACCAACCACCCATCCACTAGATTTTTAATTCCAAATATTTACCGTCAGATGTTGGTGCTACAGTACTATAAAAAGAAATTTAACAGTAAAACAAAGCACCAGATCAGTAACAAACTTACCAGAACAGGAACTAGAAATCCGATTCCAATCCCAGCCAACTTAAACT